CACAAAAGACGGTTCTTTCGGCTGCACTCCCGACCAGAAGTTTTCGTATTGCTCCAGGAAGGTTGGGATATGCAAAATACGGTGTGTCGTCTCAAACGTGGTCAGATACAAGTTGAGTAGTTCGTCAGCAACTTGTCGAGGCGGAACCATCTCCTCAAGCGAGGGAGACTTTTGCTGATAGGCACGCTGGTGCTCCTGTCGCTCTCGAGCCCATATCTCCCCCTTGAAGTTCTTGAATTTCTTGTAATTGGGGATTCTCTTCATCGTACTGCGGCGGCCCCGCATGAATTTGCCAACATCATCAAACTGCGGAAATTAGCACCATTCACGAATCAGCCATGGCACAACACACACTTACAAAAGACAAAGAGACGGACGCATGGCTCCGTCCAACGAATCGCGTGCGGATTTTCTTCCCCCGAAAACAACACCGATCGGGAAGATCTTTCACATTGTCAATGAGATTCTGCGACTCCGGACCCGAACGATGCCCGATGTCTACCGAGTCACCACCCAGACTTTCTGGGGTGTGCATCGACCCAGTTTTGGAGAGAGCGCTTTCCAGGAACTGAATGCGACTGCGCAGTTCGTGCAACTCGTCTGACCGCGCTTTTGGCTTGGTGACCCTATTGGTGGACTGGTGCTTGGAATCAAAGACGTAGAGACCCCCGTGCGCCGGACTGGCTCGACTGCTGGAGATACGCACGCGTTCTGGCGGGGTGCGGGAAGCGCTCCCCGACCCCGGCGCCTGAGGGCCAACGTAGATGCATTGATCTGGCGTTTTGGACTTCATGCATTGCCCACATGGTAGAGAGCGGTCGCATTTTAACTTGCGACGCCTGCAAATGGTACAAGATAGGGGTGGTCTGCGCCGTCGCGGCGGAGACTTTGGGGAGTGGTCTTCATCCATGGCCTTCGTTGGATAGAGCGATATTCTTGTTTGGCGGCGATGATGTGACTGATGGTGGTGGGTTGGACCGACCGTGCCCAAGTCACCTGATGTAGTCCTATCGGTGGTGGAGTGTCGTGAAGTTGAAGATGAAGCGGAGGGCAGCCGACCGGCAACATCAAAGTCTTATCTGATCTGTAAGCTTACAGCCGAGCCCCACGGGCTTCGCTGCCTAATTTGGTTCAGGAGAAAGACGTGGTCATTCAGGGAGTGTGGCCCTTGATGGGCTTGAGTGGTTAGTGGCAGCCTGGAGGTACTTTTGATTCTTAGTAGTATCTAGTTAGTCGATGGTTTAGTCGGCCTCTTTCAGGAGTCATCCGGGATTACGCATCGGACTTGCTCGATGTGGATGTCCGAGTGCTCGGAGTTACGGTTTCTGGTTAGCTTCCCTCACATAAGCAGGTTTGTCAGTGGCCCACAAGACGAAAAGGTGAGCAGTGAACTAAGGGGAACTTGTCTTGTTAAGTAGTCATCCCGAACAGTGTCTTTATATATTGATTGAAACAGATCAGGTTCTATTTATACTGTATCCAGCATATAGAAGAAGGGCGTCTCTTCGGGAAAGATAGTGGAGGGAACGGCAAGCTTGACAAACATCACATGCCGGCTCTAGTTGAATCTGGTCTAGCTCCAATTCCCATAAGGCTGAACATTGCACGAATGCTTGTATCTTATGCTCTTTTCCCACAGATAAATAGTAAATCAATGAAATTCAGCCACTGGCTGTCATGGTATTATCTCTATCACAGGGACATCGAACTGACCTCATAGCTACCAACCGTCGATAGATACCGTGAACAATTGGAGCTGCTAAGCTAAAACAATCTGTTTTATCTCGGCCTTCGGGCCTAGCTAACCCCGAGCATAGTCAATACTCTCCTCGAAAGAATAATCCTGGACTTTTCCACACTGATCTCGTCCGGATGCTATGCCTAAAGGGCTTCTAAATTCACAACACAGGAAATCCGGTTACAAAGTAACATGTTTCTTACCGTGATAGTCTGAGGCCACCTGTCGATCGTCCTGTTCCCTTTCAAGCTCCCTTCCACTCTATTACCGACAGGTTCTGACCACTTCGATTATATCACTAACGTATTAACTTGGCCTGTTCCTTCCATCCACAAGTCTCTATCGGCTCCTAAGCAGGACTACAATTTGCTATATCGGTTACTGAAAACCACTGAATTGACAGTAATTGAATCCAAACCCCTAAACAGGTCTGGCTTCTCCTAGAATGTGAATAGGGCCCAGTGTAGGTATGGAACCCTGTCGGTACATAGTAGCATACCAGAGTAAGTGTCTAGGTCGCCCAGGAGGGAAGTAGATGATGACGAGGAGGGCATGGGTAGTCCTACTGATGGGGCCACCTTCTACCTACCCCCCTGCTTGTTCTCCCATTTGCTTCTCCTCAACTTCTTCTGAGCTAGCATCAAATATCATCTTGAAACAAACTGGTACCAACGAGCACCGCTATCTTCTAGCCACACTGTGAGTCCGCGAGGTCCTCTATTGAGCCTATTATCCCCTTTGCGAATGACATCAGCTGCCCATCTCTGTCCACGAGTGGGTAGCAGCAACCACGTAGTGGACGTCAGTTTAAACCCAAGCGTCTGATGAATGTCGCCTGCGCACTGCAGCTTGAAAATGGACATGACCAAACAGTCAGCCCTGGCATTCGGGCTATTCCGCGGAGTTTCTCACCAGTTGGCGCCCGCCGGGAACAGGCGGATTTGAAAGCCAACTTCGTGGGAGAGGGGTATAACTGCCTCGTGCGCAACATTACGAGAGTCCCACTATTTCCGAGGCACACTTAATCACTCTCCCCATCACGATGATCTGGCACACAGTCCAAGTTGTCCGATATCCCCGAAAGTGGGAAACAGGAGTGGATATCAGATTCCGATACCGCTGATTAATGCGGGCCCGCGCGGATGATCAGCCGCGCCAAAAGACACCCAATCGCCGCCACTCCAACCATGTTATTTGAATACCTTCAACACCTCTTCACCTCAGCTTAGATCGCGTTGCTTTTATTTTTCGTGTCTTTTCCGCATGCGGGTGTTATCTCCTGGAGTTTCCGCCCTGAAACTCACCTCTTCTGCAACATGTACACCCTGCCGGTCTTGATTGCGGCCTTATTTCTACATGTCAAGTTCCCCTTGCTTCCGGGTCTGAGAGACACCCTCTATGGCATCATCGTCCTCAGCGCCTGCTGCGCCATTTTCTACCCGCCCGACACCAGGGACTTTATAAGATATACCAATGCATTTCTCTCTACCTCCTTTGTCATCCGCGCTGTGGAACTCCTCCTGGTCCATGATCTGAGTCACTTGAAGCGCCTGCAGAGGGTGTCTTACCTATCCTCTTCACCCATATATACATGGGAACCCATATCTCCCACGCTAGGGTGGAAGCGTTTTGTTCAGATCTGCGATCTAATCATTAACCCGCGCGCTGTGGGTTGGAGCTACGGCTCTCCCAAGTACCAGCCTCCCGTCCGGAAGCTCGAGGCTGTCCCGGACGGCGCAAATGGGTGCGTTCCTAAACGCGAGGACATCGTCCTGGTAGCAGATGACGACCGCTTCTCGTTCTTGAGAGGCAAGATCATTCGGGCTCTGGTAGCCTACTTTATCATCGACTCGTATCAGTCAGCCATTGGACGGAACTACTCCAGCGTCAGCAACTTCGTAGAGACATTCCTGACCAATGTGCTGAACATCCAAGCATCCCCGGCCACGACTGAGGGCGTAATTCGGTTGTTCATCCTTCCACCAGTACACTGGATGGCCTCCTACGCCTTCGTAGACGGAATCCACGCCGCCACCGGCGTAATTTCCGTCGGTGTGCTTCGGATCATCTCTCCACAGCTCGCAGCGGAACCATGGATGTATCCCCCTGTCTTCGGGGCGATCCGATACATGTTCACCTTTAGCCTACGAGGCAAGTGACCTAACCCCCCTTACCTTCCCTAGGACAGCAAAATAACAAAGTAACAATCCAGACATCTGGGGCAAAATGTGGCACGACCTCTGCCGTCGCCCATTCCTGGCCCTCTCCCTCTCCCTCATCCCGGATTCATGTCCCCTAGGCCTCAAGCGCCTTCTCGTCGTCTGCCTCTCCTTCATGGTATCAGGCGTCGTTCACGCAGCAGGGACGTACGCCGTCTCGAAGGACTGGTTCGCCGCGTCCATGATGATGTTCTTCTTCTGCGTTCTGCCAGCATGTGTGGTCGTGCAGCAGATCATTTCCGATCAGATTCTGCCGCGTGTCCTTCCCGCGAAGAACAACATCTCTCGAGTCGTTATTTGGCTCGTGGATGCGGCGTTCGTGGCCGCGTGGGGCTACTATACTAGTCCGTGGTTTCTGAATTATAGTAGACTGCCGGAGGCGATTGAATCCATTCCAATGCCGGTTAGTTTCTGGGGGGTGGTGCTTGGGGTTTAGGTTTGGTTCTGTAGTGTTGTCTGTTGTTATATATAGACTGTGTCTTCACTACATGGGGGGGAGGGTGTGATGTTACGTGGGGTTGGTGAACGTTTCTTGGGTTGTTTTTTTTTTGTTTTGGCATAGCGATATGATACCATCTTATACATTGGTCTTTTATAGGGTTTGGATAGATTATTGATAGGATTTCGGTTGCTAGCGAGAATCCGAATACCATAGTGAGTGTCCAGCTGGGACTACTGATCCAATAATAATGGTCATTATATAGTGCTATGTTCGGGTCGGCCATCATGGTTAGTAACCGCCACGCTACAAGTCCCCAAAGTATGACCATATTTGTACAGATTCTGGCTTGAATGGATCGTTACTGCTACAGGTACAATGATTCATCATATCTTCTCCCTCAGCAATGATACTAGTGAAGCATCCTAAAGCCAAGCCTACATGAAGGGAGTGTGGCATTAGTAGCTGTCAACGAAGGAAACCACGTAGCAACCCAAGTAGTTTATTAAGATTACGTATCAACTAAATCAAGACAGATTGGCTTCCTCCATGTTGGACACGTATATACCTATACTCCTTCCCACATCTGGCAAAACGAGTTTGCCTATGCGGTGTTGTCAACCACAACGCCCTCGTTGGTGGTCTTCTGTTCAGCGACGTATCTATCCCAGGCTGCGCAGTCAACAATCTCGACTGAGAAGTCCGCCTTCTTGATGAGATTGTCCAAGCGTCGGCATGCCTCCATCATTGCTGCTTTACCCTCCGCAGTCTTATCCAACTCACAAGTAGGCTCAATCCCGAGGATCCAATTTTGATCCTTACAGCGCCATTCCCACTTTTCGGATATGCGGACGTATTTCAGAGATAACCGATCGCTTTTGCTCTTCGCTATCAGGCTAGCCAGAAACATAAACACAGGGCGGTCACATTCAATTATCCTCAGACTCTCTAGAGAGTTCGGGAGACCTGGGATATCTCGCAACCCACTTTGCTCCACTTGAAGGACTTTGAGGCTTATGAAGGACGTAAACGAGCCATAGTGACTCCAATCTGGACCTCCAGGATTGGGCGCGCAGTCATTAAAGTTGAGTTCGAGTTTTAGAAGGCTATATTTATGGGCCTCCAAGATCGATAATATATTTGATCTTTTGACCCGGGAAGCATGTCGACACTTCCTGTCTATTACTGCCTCACTGATACAGAAAACCTTCAAACGCTTGCATGCACGAACAATTTGGCGCAATAGGGGGGGAGTAAACGTAGATGCTCCTAGGTCTAGCATTGTAATGCTGAGAGACTCGGGTTGGAGGAGGTTAAAAGGTGGACAGCCAGGGTCATGCTCGTCAGCGCCACATATAGAAAACTCATTCAGTGTGGGTAGGTGCATGAGATGAATTAGATTTCTTAATGATTCGTGGGACATGGTTTCCAGAACAATAACAAGTTTCTTCAAGTTGGGGAGATAATCATAGCGGCGTATGCCCTGAGAATCTCGTTCCCAGAGCAGCTCCAATCCACCCAATCCTGTCTCGATATGACTGAGTCCCAATTCTTGCAAGTTGGGCGTCAGGGATATTAGAAGCATGAACAACGGAAGTGGATGAATACCCGCATTGCCTGTCAGGTGTCGCTGCTTCCAGTCCGCTGGAAAATGGTTATAGGCTCTCATCAGTGTCTCCATTGAGACCTTCCGGGGCCCAAATGGCAGGTTCTGCAGTGAATCAAATCTCGGAAAGAACAATATATCCATATCCAATTTGCGTACAAAGGTGCCCAATTCAGGCCGTTCAACAACAGCCTCTATGAAGCGCATAAGAGTAACCATTTCAACCTTGTACGGAGGTACCGTTGTTCCATCGCTCCAGTTAAGCCATTGTGGGCCTTGACGGAACAATTCGGGCTGGACAAGGGCACAAACTGTCTTGCAAGTTTGGCAAAGCTTTGCGATGGCCCCAAATTTATTTGCATAACGCAGTTCAGCTATTATGAGCAGCAAGATCTCATGGGGGAGATTTGGGAGACTCATTGTGGCTGTCGAGGGATTCAATGGTGGCGAGATTCGCTTTGGCCAGATGTTATCGAGCAGGGATGGAATGACGAGTGGAATACCGATGGCTATGTCAGCTGTCACAAGTAATAGAAGGGTATGTGGATACCAGATCCAGAGCTCCAGATAAGCCTGGGCACTTGACACTTTTTTTATAGTCCAGCATCTGTTATGGGTTACGAGCTTGGTGAGGTGAGATTCGGTATTCCCTAACCCGGAAACATTGTCTGAACTATAGCTATAACTGAAGCAGTGGGACATAAAGGCCTACTAGTAATCGCAGGGATCCAAGAACAAAGGCTTCATATTGGGGTAATCCGTTGTACTGTAGCTCAGCAGCGGGAAACAAAGCACAAGCCTGACTATACACCATTGAAGATCATGTTAAGTTTAATGAGTAAGTACTAGTAGTAGAGTCAACAAAGGTTTGCTCAGCCGCGGTCATCTGACTAGGCGTTCCCGCACTGGCAGAAGCCGAGATCTCAAGTTGTAGCTGCCCTTCCATCCTCCACCTCCTTTCACCTTCTTACACTTCAAAGAATTGGCAGGGTATTGAAATAGCTCACTCAGGTCACGTGATTGCCGCCCATAGCACGTCCAGACCCAGACCCAGCCGGTTAAGCCCCAAGTATTTCCGTATATCTCTCTCTCTTCACCAGTCACCTTCCGAGCAAATATCACCACCACACTTACGGTCGGCTACCAGCTCTTTCACCACAAAAATCCTGCTACCTGTTTATCGCAGAAATGTCACATATCATTCATAATTCAATGGCTTGACCCGAATAACTCGAACAAAGAACGATGTTCTACAACGCCCTCATCCGAACCCACCACATCACCTCCCGCAAAAAGGTGTCTGCGCTGAAACGCGCTGCCGATATACACAATTGCTTCGTGCTTCTACGCTCCGGTGGTTGTCCAGGGATAATGTATGTCGAGGCGAGAGACCAAACCGCTGTTGAGTCTTGGGTGACTGTCGTTCGAAAACTTCGGTACAAGGATTTTCAACTAGCCATGCGACCAGGACCCCTCCACGACGAGAATCAGACAGACCTTCGTGATCAGAAGCAGTCACACCACCAGACAAGAATGAGGGATATAAGAGCCGGTGTATCTGAGGTAGAAACCGTCAAGGAGTTTGGGAGTTTAATGGAACAACGAGGTGTCTGGAAATGGTGGAGAAAGGGGATGGGATACGTTGGTTGATTTTGCGATCGCTGCAAGTGCATACTCAACTCATGGATTGGGCTCTCCTGATGGCTACCTATGCCCGTGAATATCGTCCAGTCCGGCTCTCTGCAAGATCTGAGACCCTGGACTCGCGGTTTTGAAATCAGCATACTGGTCATCACAATTGGAAGCCTCATCACAAAGCAACTGCTTCCCTCGCATGCTAGGTCATTCAAATACGGCAATTTACAGTCACGGAAATGTGTGCAACCTAATGTCGATACTACGTCACCTCTTCGAAGCTATATACACGAACTCGATGTCGACGTATGCAGGCCTAGCTCACCCATGCAATGTCGAATTGTTATGCTTAGTCGCCCAGTTACGGTGACCGGGCAATCTATTGACGGGGCCATGTTGACCGATGTTGTCTTTCGGTGCAGGAACATCCAATGGCTGCGAAATTGGGGCCAAGTCTCTTGTTTGGTTCCTTGTTATCGAGCAGTCTGGGTCGGTCAATCCTTGTGGACCGGTACAGGTGTCTATAGCTTGCTGCAAGGCGACCTGGTCTGTCCAACCGTACATGAAATCTCCGTGCAAGCCGTATCCGGTTTTGTCACCTGTCGCATATATCCAGTTCTTGTAGTCTGGATGGGGTGCTGTGTTGAAAAAGAATTCCAGAAAGATGGAATATATCGCGACGGGATGAGACTTGGGACAAACGCCCTTGTTGTAGTCTCCAGTATCGGGATACGCCATCTACAAGTAGTGTAAGCACATCCACAAACGCATTCAGACGTCACCTACATGGCTCTTATGATCTGAGCTGTCCAGGTTCTCTCCATCCCAGCAGGAGGGCATAAAAACCTGCGACCTCAACATTTCACAAGGCTGCTGAGGCAAGCCTTTCGTCTCATTCGAGCTTCCATCTTTGCCAATGCACATATGACTGATGGCACGCTGGGACCAGTTCGAATCATTATAGGTCCTGTTCCCATCTGATATCAGCACTGTCAGACATCGGGATAAAGAACAGGCGAACAAACCGAAGACTCGGATTCCCAGCAAGCATGCGCAGACCTTTCGGCGGCGCCAGCGGAACCAGCTTCTCATCACAATCCGTAGCACCGGCCGTATAATTACACGCTCGATCAAAGTAATAAATACTCTATCTAACTCATTAGCCAATTCCTCTCGGCCCTCAACCAAGCTTCCAGGACTCTCAATGAAGTCCAAAGAAATACCTACACTGGACTGATACTCCACGAGCTCAAACGACCCATTCCTCATGCGATGATAAAGCTGCGGAACCCAATAATTGCTCCTATCAATATCCACTTCGCACGTCGTCCCCTTTGCGTTCTGCGCCGTGCTCTCATTCATTGTTCGCTGGAATGCTGTCCCCCCAGTAACAACATGTGTATGCGTAGATGGCTTTCCCGGCGCGACTATCGGGTCGGACAGTTGAGTCGTCAATGGATCGCAGCTGAAGGTAAACTCGTCTGTCGTGCGCTGCTTCGCAAGGACATTGCTACCGCTGCTGAGCAGAAGTAGCGCTGCGATGTAGCGGTTCCACATAATGCTGTCCGTTTCTTTCCCTCATTCAAACAGACAGAGGCACCATTTGCTCCATTCACATAGCAAACAACGTAACAAACCAACGTAGTAATTGCACTCGCAATCCGCGAAAGCAGTATCTTATGACACGAGAGTAGAATAAAAGCAATTGAAAGAAGCAAGACAAAAGGATTTTCATACAAAGATAAAAAAAAAAAACAAAACCTAACCGAACTCAATATATCCCGTCCGTCATTCCTCACGTCCATTTAACCTCCACCTTCAGCGCCTCCTGGGTGCTTGTTTTCCGCCCCGGGCATCTCTGTACATTACACATTCCAAGCGCCACCGCAAATATCTCAGCCTCTGAGATTATCTCCGAGGAATGCTATGTTATGTTGTTGATGGCTCCTGCAGGTAGAACACGTGTCCCCTGTGTATTGTATGTACCGTGTAGGAGCAGTGATGGTGTAGATGCTCTGCAGGGGCTGTGTTTATTCTTTTTTTTTTTTTTTTTTCCCCTTGTGCTCAGGAAGTTGCTAGTAGGATGGATGATGGATTGACCGGTTTGGTGGAGGGTCTGGTTGTGTAGATATGGGTGATGTGTTCAATTACTATTGATAGATGCTATAGATAATGGTTTATGATACAGCTCAAGTTGGTAGTTCACAGGTTGCATGGGCTTGGTGGGTAATGTGACCGAGGCATTGACGTGAAATATGTAGGACTCGGTTGTTTTGCTACTGGGGTGCAATTCTGGATGGAGAGTTGTTGTTGTAGTCGTAGTATTATTCATACATATATTTTGCAGTTCTATCAAGCACTAGTGTTACATATACATCAGTACTTCAATACCATTTGACTGCATCCCCATATTTGTATCAAAGGAAAGCCACTACTATAACGAACTACAAAGGAAAGCACTTTTTGACTGAGAAGACATCGTTGCACAGAGCCTACCGAGAGGAGCCACTTAGAGTGCCTTATTATCTAGAAATTCTCTACCATGACTGCATGCTTTTGTGCAATGTACTTGGAAGTCCGCTTAGATTATATTATTCAAGCGCAACGCTATCTCTTAATTCAAACGTGCTCTTGCATATGAAAATCCCTCTGCTGAATTCTGATCGCATAATGCAAATACAGACGTAATCTGACTTGCCAAACACCAAAGACACCCGGCCTTAAACGCCGCTGACAACATCAAGCTCCCCATTTGACCATTCAATTCTGGGCCGTGGACATGGCGGCCTGGCCATGCATGCTTGTACTACCGAAGTAACATTTGCATAAGCAGCTAGGATCAGACCTGATGTCACGCCATTAGCATCCGTCGGACTGGGCACAGAAGTGGATCCTTGGCGACCAGGGACTAACCCAGTGACCAGTGAGATCCCAAATCCAGATGCAGTAATATCAGCCCATTGGACTCCAGTAGTGCGCTGGATGAGCGGGCTCTTATATCTTGGCTTGGTCGTAGCCTCGCATAGCAGAACCCACCTCTTGCCTCGCATAATGGTGCCCATCTCAGTTTCTCTACAACGTAGAATACCCCAGACATATCCCTGATATCCCTGGTTTGAATTCCTTCAGACACAGCAGCGGCTGCGTCGAGGACATCCTAAAAAGGGCCCCGAACCTTGCACGCAGCCACAAAATGGAGCATCACTACCTCTGTATGCGATGTAATGCAGCCATGCTCTCTAACACACAAGTCCGGTATTGTTACCGAACATGATCAAGCCTGGCTTGGATCGTCTTGTCATCGAAGTGGCCTTCTTCGCCAACGTAGTTGTGAAGGGCTTCTGAAAACATCAAGCGACGGGGTGCCTTTCGTCCCGTCATGAGCTCAAACTGGGGTATCGCTTGCTCGACCACATTGTCCAGTCCATCAACTAATACCCAAGGGCGCCCGGTTTCAGTCCGAATACGACGCATCTGGCGCAGCAATGGAGTGTCCAGTGGCTTGTAAGCGAACTAGCATGAAAACGTTAGTCAGGCCCACCTGTGCACATCATTAAAGAACTTACCTCAAGGACTACGCCGCCAGTGGGGCTTCCCAGCCATTGCATAGGCATTTCAAAGTTGGCTGGCGGTTCATCGCGGTCGCGGTCCGCAGGCACACAAGATGCGATCATGCAAGGCGGACAGGCATCCTCAGGCCACTCATCCTTCAATGACTTGAGCACATACACAACTTCCGCCGAGTCCACTTGTGAGGCTGCCCATGAGTTGAAATGACGAGCGACACTTTCCGCTCGTGACAAAGTTCTGTTGTAGATGAAGATCTTACGGCATCCGAGCCGCAGCATAGCATAGACAGCGGCGCGGGCCATACCGCCCGCTCCTATCACCAGCCCAGTAGTCTTCGATGGGCTGATGGCATTGCGTGGAGAGAGATTGCGGTTGATGCAGTTCATAATGCCAACCCAATCCGTATTCTCACCGTACCACCCTAGCACAGGTCCAGCCTGGTTACGCCGACTCGCCTGCTCTTGTAGAGGATACATGGATCCATCAGGGCCGGCGCGCAGGGGTACGATCGTGTTGATCGCACCAATTGCCTCCACATGGCGGCTTTTCGCCGCGAGCTTATGTGATAGTTGTACTCTCCAAGGCTGAACCACACTTGACCCTCCAAAATGCGAATCCCTGCCCAACCGATCCATGATTGCAAGCGAGGGCGAGTCCGGTATGGTATAGGTATGGCTCATGCCACAGTGGCGGAAAGCAGCGTTGTGCATTGCAGGGGACAGACTGTATGCGACATTACCTCCGAGGATGAAGAACTGGAGCGGGTCCAGGACGTAACTTTGGAACAAGGCCTGAACTGCATCACGAGAAGTAATCTGCGGGTCTCGCTCGTTGTCGGAGGACCTTTCGATTGCTGGGTGAGTTACCGATGTGAGGATAGAATTGAACACTTGCGAGGTGCGGCCAAGACGGCCAATGTTGTATGCGATAACGGGTGGATGTTCGCCAGGCAGCGCATGAACCTTGTTTGTGAATTTAGCAACCGCTGCATTATCCTCACGCGACGTAGCCACTCGAAGAAAGCGAACGAGCTGACACCCCAGCTTCTCGGCTTCAGAATAGAGGGAAAGGCATTCTTCGCTCTCCCAAGTCTCTGGCGCAGAAGGTTCGAAGATGCGTTGACCAATAATCTTTGTGTTGCCTCTGGTACGGATTGCCTCCTCCACTCGAGACCGTTCCTGGCTCAAGTCCACGGCCAAATACTCAACCGCCAGCCGTAGAGCATGGTCCACGATAGTGAAGTATAAAGTGTTCACCTTTGTAGCAGACAGATCACCTCTCGCAATGCCTGTGGAAGATTTATCTATAGAGATTATAATGGGTGTACGAGCATTCCTCCGGAGTAGAGCGACCTGCTTGCTGAGAGTTGCGGTCAATCCCGTGCTCCAGCGGTCAACACACAGCTCAATGGCATCACCTCCTGACTCAAGCTCCTGTAGGTTGACATTGCCTTCTGCCAGGTCGGAAGATCGAACAAAAATGGCATGGGTGAAGGACCGGAGTTCCGGGGGAGTCTCAAGCAGGACGAAAGGCGAGTCATAACTGGTGTGCCCTACATCGGTGCCAGTCACGAAACGCACGAAGCGCGTGAAGTCCTCTTTCGCTTCTTTCAACTTGAAGGAATAATCGACGCAACGTCGGTCCGGCGATCCCTCATCCGTCTGGGAAGCGATACTGGAATGATCTTCAACATTGTAGAACTCGAAATTCGAGCATGTTCTGTGTAGAGGATCGCCCTCGGCAAGAAGCTTGACTGATTGCTCCTCCAGACCTAATAGGCTTTGAATGCGATCCATGTCGCGAACTATGTATACAATGGGATTGGTAGCAGAATAGTGACGAAGGTGCTCCTGAACCGGACGGGTAAGACTGCCGAGACCGCATTCAATCACACAACGGGAGCGGTGGTTGTCAAGCATTGACTTGAGGACTTCGACATCGCGTTGCTGGAATTCCTGACTCCCATAGCGCTTGAGATACTCATGCCTGGTATGTCCGGTCACCTCTTTGAAATAGTGGTCTTCCGTGATGAACCGCCGTTTCAACGCAGTGGCAGCGACAAATCCCAGAGACCGCTTTCCGCACCCCCGGATTCCCACAAGCACCAGTGAGGCATCAGGATCGAATCTCCGGCGCTTATCTACCGGGGATATTTTGTGCATTGTGGACGTTTACGTGGATCAGTGGGACGGAGGTCTTGTGTGGTCGGTGCGCGGGAAGCAAGACCGTCCGCTGCAGAAAGTCTAAGTTGCTTAGAGCAACGAGAAATCAAGATGATATCAGCAGTGTATCCAAAGCAACCCAATAAGGATCAATCATCTGCACTCCGTCATATTCGAAGTGGCCATGCTTCAATTGAGGGAGGATAGCGTGGTCGAGGGCCGCTCTTGACTTTATTTTTTTCTTGTGACTGAAGCGGAGAAGCTAGTATACCGGGGAAGATGGCGGGGGTAAGGAAATGGTGACTAGCTTTTGCTAGCTATCGGGCGGAGGCGGAGTGCAGTAAGTGCGGCAGGGACAAAGGCGGTCAATTGGCGCAGCACCTGGCATGCCTGCGAGGGCAGCAATGGGACGGAAACGTGTTGAAGCAGGCTGGTCAAGCAGGCGTGATTGGTTTGCTGGGGGGGCCGCTGGAGAAAGTGTGATTATAACAGAACCAAAGGATGACAGTTGGGGGACCATGGCAAGAATGCTCGGTTGCGGGCATCAGCCACCGGAGTCCCAAAGGGTTCGCGGATTCAGCATCTCCAGCCGCATTGCCGGACCATCGCATCTGCCACGAGGGACCGCCTGCCCTCCAGGCTGTTTCCGGATAAGGTAATACCCGGATAGACGATCTCCATCCGCGGGACTCTCCGTAATCCGTATACGACATAGATTGGCCTGGGTGTCACCCCCCGATCCATCGGTAGCCACCTACTCAATTAGTCTCTTCAACCGCATGCTAGTATTTATCATTAATCAATAAGCATGCATCCCTGATAAGT